AAGGGTTTGGAGAGGGCTGAGGTAACACAAATAATTCTCCTGGCCCCTGCGCGGGGTGCCTCAACCTCGCTGCCTTTGCCCTGGTCCCATTAGGAGGAATCCCCTGGAGAAAGTCCAACCAGTCACTGTTGTCCCTGCCCAATTTTCTGGTCTAGGGAGATCTGAGGAGAGGAGGCAGCATGGAAATGGGAAGCTGAGGCCATGGTCATTACGTTGGCCGTTCCCCCTAGACTGTGAACTCCATGAGGACAGGGAAGGTCTGTTTTGTTCATGTCTGTGTCCCAGATACGGCCTGGCCCATTGTAAGTGGTTAGTAAATACCAGTTACATGAATGAATGGTTGTATCTGAGTTGGGTAACAGAAGAAGGGCCTGGGCAGGGGACATCATCTGTTTGGGAAGATGGGGTCTTTGAGAGGAAGAGACAGGAGGGTCTGCTCTGGCCTGTTACCCTAAGACTGTTCCTCAGGCACTGGTGTTAAGGGGATAATTACTCACTCAGGGTTCTGGGGCTTAATGAGTGGGATCATCTAGGGTTTTTGTGTTTTTTTTTTCAAAGACTATCCTCTTGCTCAAACCCCAGATAGTTCTCCTTTCTTGTTTCTACTTCCTCATATTAACATCCCAACAAGGAAGAAGGAACAACACAAAAAAAAACAACCCTGAGAGCGTAGGGTCTGGATGGAGAGGGAAGGTGATGGACTGAGGTTGGTGAGACAGCTGAACTTGGGTGACCCCAATGTAGGACTGACTAAAACATTTGAACTTCACAGAGCTAGGGACTCTAGAAGCTTGGGTGTTAGAGGTCATCCAATCCCATACACCCCATTGAAATCAGGGATCCCTCCTGGGGCATCTCTGGTATTGAACCACATTAGGAGACCCTTGGTTTGGTAGCTTTACAGTCAGAGAAATCCACTTAGGTGTCAAGGCCTCATGATGCCCTTGTCAACAGACAAAGGAAAGGAAAGAGGAGTAAAAACCCAGCTGTATCTGTCCCCAAGACCAGAAGTCAACCAAAGATCTCAGAATGTCCTTAGGGACACTGACCCACATACTATCTCAAGACAGCATTAAAATTTAGCCCTGAGTGGGGCACCTGGGTGGCTCAGTCAGTTGGGCGTCAGACTTCGGCTCAGATCATGATCTCGCGGTCTGTGAGTTCAGGCCCCACATCAGGCTCTGTGCTGACAGCTCGGAGCCTGGACCCTGCTTCTGATTCTGTGTCTCCCTCTCTCTCTCTGCCCCTCCCCTGCTCACACTGTCTCTCTCTGTCTCTCAAAAATAAATAAATGTAAAAAAAATGTAAAAAAAAAATTTAGCCTTGAGTGACTGGAAAGATGAGTCCTGCTAAAATCTTTGTCTTTTTTCTAAAGGCTCCAGGAGCAGACCCTGCATCATGGGCTACACCAGCAACTCCAGGGCTCACCTGCCAGGCCCACGTGGGCTCCAGCATGACAGAGGCATTCTGGAATGGATGTCTTCACAGGAAGGGTGACACCGGGATTTTGTTTGTTTGTTTTTTTTAATTTTTTTTTAACGTTTATTTATTTTTGAGACAGGGAGAGACAGAGCATGAACGGGGGAGGGGCAGAGAGAGAGGGAAACACAGAATCGGAAGCAGGCTCCAGGCTCTTGAGCCATCAGCCCAGAGCCCGACGCGGGGCTCGAACTCACAGACCGCGAGATTGTGACCTGAGCTGAAGTCGGATGCCCAACTGACTGAGCCACCCAGGCGCCCCAACACTGGGATTTTGTATTCCTAGGCTGACTCCTGTAAGCAGAGAAGGACCTGTACGAATGCCCTGGGCTGGGATTGGGGGAGTTGAACCTCATACAGACCATGAGTTGATGAACCACCCAGTCAGGAATGGAGATGAGTCATTGTCCTCTGTCTTCAAAGCTTTTGACCTACCACAATGGGGAAGCAGAACTACCATCTGCCATGTGTCCTAGAAGGAGGTGTCCAAACACAAATCCGCATATCATCTGTGTCTGGGTGTGTCTGTCTCTTTCCTTGTGAGTGTACTTGGCCATGGGTGTATCTGGGTACAGCCAGATACATCCTCAGCATATCTTTTCACCTGCGTGTTTGTTTCTTTTCTGGTTCTCCTTTTTTTCCCCTCTTAAATATCAGGTCCCTCGGGGCTTGGTCTGGTCCGTCTTCTCTACTCTCTCAAGACCTCTCCCTGGTTAATCACATCCACACATCTTCAGTATGGCTATGAATTCCAAATCTATATCCCTATCTTCACCTTGGTCCTGAGCCCCAGATTTGTATCCAGGTCCTCCCAAATATGCACTTGGCTGACACACATTCAACTTGCTTCTAACAACTCACCAATGACCCCACAGTGTTATCAGAACTTCTGAACTTGTCACACCCTCCTGAATGCCTCTTCACTGGTATCTAATTTTCTTCCCTAGATTCACAGGTGGGACAGGAGTGGGATGGGATTTGGTAGGGTGGCTCTGAGAGTTGGCTAAAAGGTAAACAATTTAGAGCTGGATGACAATGCCACGTGGAGTCAGCCAGGTGAGCACAAAGTATCCTGTTGCAAAACCACAGGAATCAGAGCTACTGGGTTAGCTAAGCCCCACAGGAGAAAGCGAGGCTAGCCCAGAATGATGGTTGGTCACCATTTCTATGCGTTATCCATGTTTCTGGTGTGTAAGAGCTGGGAACAATCAGAGAAGCTAAGGGACAGAAGACACCTAGCTTACTGTCACCTATAGATCGAGACCAAACTCTTTAGCAGAATATCCCTATCCTTTGTGACCTGGATCATGCTTACTTCTACAGGCTCACTCTTTCCACTTTTCCAGCTTATGCCAGTACTACAGGCATTTCCTAGAGTTCAGTGTGTCTTTTGGGCTCCTATGTTCATGTGCCATTGCCTTTGCCTAGAACGTTATTTCCATTGATGTTTACTCAGTAAAGACCAATTCAACCTTTTGGAGTTAGCCCCAGTTCCTCAATGCCTCCAGGCACAACGAGTGATTCTGACATCTTTCTAATGTCACCTAAAACATACCTTTATACCTAAATTATTTCAATTGCCACACTACATAATAATCATTTACTTGCCTGCCTGAACTGAACTGTGTGCTCTACAAGAACAGAACCTATATCTTACTGCAGTTTTTAGCCCCCAGCATCTAAATAGTGGATCGTACATACTTGCAGCCCAGTAAACATTTGTTGGATGGATGAATGAATGGGTGAATGGACTTACACTCTTACAGGGGAGATAGACAAGTAAAGAAAAAAGTTACAAAATTGTGAGGAAAAGACCATGCTAACAGGTCATTTTGGGTACAGAAAGGAAGGGATGCCTGATTTCAGGCCCCTATCCCACTTTCTGTTCCCTGTAATACGCAATTCAACACAAAAACACTAAACTGTAAAATAAAATTTTTTTTTAATTTTTTTTTCAACGTTTATTTATTTTTGGAACAGAGAGAGACAGAGCATGAACGGGGGAGGGGCAGAGAGAGAGGGAGACACAGAATCC